TTGTTCACTGGCACACTTACTTGGCAGGTTTTAACCTGACCTGCATTGGTTAACAAAGGAGAGTCACTGTGCCTGTTGACTTCAGGTGGTGGAGGCGATCCGGCCGTGCATTGGCATCACTGAGGACTGCTACTGTGGATGGAGGCAACCCCCAGGACAACTGGGGTAAGGTTGTCACACCCCTCCTCCCTGACCTGGGACACTGCCCCCTGGGTGGGGAGGTGTTGCTGTTGATTTCAGGTGTTGGAGGTGACCCCGCAGTGTTGCTGTTGGCATCACTGGAGTGGGACTGCTTTTGTGGGTGGGGGGCGGCCTCCAGGACAACCTGAGTGCCAGTCCGTCACACCCTCCTTCCCCTGCACCTGGAAACACTGCTTCCTGGGTGAGGAGGTGAAGTTGTTGATTTCTAGGCATTGGAGGCGACCCGGTAGTGTTATGCTGGCGTCACTGAGTGTGACTGCCAGGTGGAGGCGGGCTCTCAGCACCTGGGATGCCAGGCCGTCAGCTACACCCCTTCTTCCTGCATCTGGCACACTGCCACTCAAGTGGGGGGAGTCTTGCTCTCCCTCCTGAGAGGCACATTCTGATGGGGCAGTTGCTTGCAGGCGTATTCCTGCGCAGAAGCCGAAGGTGGCTGGCTTGTGACAGTATTTCGCCACATGATTGACCCCAAAGAAGTTGTAGCACACCACAGGGGGAGGAGTCCAATCGAGGATGTTACTAGGGTACTGTGACGGCTGCCAAAGAAGTGGGTACTCCTCAGGAGGTGGTTCTTCCTTTCCAAACAATGATGATCCTACTAAGTTGTGCACCATCCTTATAAAGTCTTGCACTGTGGACGCCCTGAAGTGACAGAGCTCTTTGGGGGGAATACCCTTGGGGAATTAAGAGTTGGAAGGCATTCTTCATTTTTGGGGTCGAACAGGTTCATCTCGCTTAATAAGTTGCATTGAGCCTAATCTTTCCATCAATGAAGCGCGTTGGATAGCATCCGTCTCCTCTCGGCCTACATAGACAAAAACGAGGTGCTACCTGGCACGACAACATTCAGCTTAGCTGCCAGCCATAATCCTTATTCAGGGCGCACAACCACCACCTCATCAAATTGGTTGCGTTCTCGGGAAGGCAAGGCGTATACTTAGCCCGGGAGCAATGGGAGGGGATGCCCTATTGGCTCTCTCCTCTGCTTCCTTCCCCTGGGTCCTCATTTTGCGTTTCTGCTGACGTGCCTGAAACTTCTGAAAGCCAGCTTCAGTGTCACCATGACTGTCCTCTTCATCTTCTTCACAAGGACATCGGCAGAGTGCCGCCCAGCGATGACTCCTGCCATGGTTAGATTTAGATGGAATCTAGGTCATAGGCGTACACTGGGGCAGAGAGGCGATATGCAGTGCCAAGCGATGTCCTTGAGGCGTAAACCCTCTTATAGGACAAGGGGAGAGGGAGCCTGACATCAACGGTGTGGGTAGGGCCTCCTGGGAGCGGAGGAGTGTGGTGTCGGGGGACTAAGGTAACAGGAGTATTCTCAGTTTATAAACACTTTTATTACACTACACTTGTTCTAATAGTATTCCTGTTTTTCTGGTTAGATAAGTATCAAAGTCAATTTTAGTTTCAAAAGAACTATCCAGCGTGGCACCATATAAGGGGGGTTTGTTATACAGACCTTCACCACATGGCCAGGGTGACTGCGGAGTAGGCCTGCCTGGCTGGGGGTCTACACACCCATTCCCCAGTACTCAACCCACGACGTTAGTTCACGTGTTATACAGGCAACATATTTGCAGTTGTTGACCTATCGGTTGGAGGGGTAATCCTCCAAGTCACAGTGTTAGGAAGAACACCTAATATTCAGTAACACCCCAGAGAATAGTGTACCTCTAATCCCAGTTGAACCACCTTAATCTTAAAAAAGATCACAGGTGGACCACACACCCACCCACCCAACACACGCGCTGAGGGGAAACTGGTGAACCTTGAGTACAGAGAAAAATTAAAACATCTTAATTTGCACTCCCTTGAGAGGCGTAGAGTGAGGAGCGATATGATCGAGGTGTATAAGTCATGGTTAAACTAAGGTGATATAACAAAGGTACTCAAACTATGCAACCTGGAGCGAACTCGTAGCACTGGTTTTAAATTAGACAAAATTAGATTTAGGCGCAAAATAGAGTAAACACTTGTTTGGAAATAGAGTAGAGGATGAGAGACAAGTTACCGAACTTCATCTTTAACTCGAACCCGCTGGGTAGCTTCAAATATCGCCTGGACGGATATATGAGCGATAGGGGTTGGGTGTAAACGAGGCTGCCTAGTATTGGCCAATTGGCCCGCTGTAGTTTCCTCCATTCTTATGTTCTCTTTTGCCATACTCACAGCCCTGAAACTTATTGAAGACACTGCTACTAACAGTCTCATCATAAATGATTCCTTATCCTCACTACTTGCTCTTGATTCTAAACTCAGATTGTCACCCGCTTGTCTCTGAAGCCAGACACAAGTATATGTGTCTTGTTGATGGTATATCAGGATCAAGCTGCTGTAGATCTACTCTCACAAAGGCATTAGTGAACATGATAGAGTTGATGCCTTAGGTAAACTCCCTTCCTACAATGACAATGTCGAATAAAATCTAGGACTGTCAAACAGAACCATAAAATCTGTACTCAGATACGAACGTTTTGGTCAATTTGAAGCAAGTAAACAAGTACAAACAGGAAATAATTGATGTACCAAGTAAAACATGAATTTGGAGCAAGTAACAAGATCACTAGATTTCAAGATGTTGTAACTGCTATCAGTGGGGGACTACAGCAGGTTTTATAAACTGTAGTATATGTTTCAGAAATACAATGTAAATGTGAAATAAATAAAACTTACACTGTATTATTTATATTGACTTGGAAGGAGATAATTTCCCTTCTTTCTTCAAATAGTAAAGCAGAAGGTACACACAATCGGTGAAACTTTAATTAAGCCGTGTTTTAAAAATGGTCAAGTGGGTTCTCGGAGAGGCAGCAAAAACACAAGATGCAGCAAATTTGCGAAATGTCTGATGACACAATGGAACAAGTGATACAGGAGATCATCTCCAACTGGCATGTTCACAATCCAGGTGGATGGAACTATGGATGTGATGCGTTGTGCACAGTTTCATGTGTTTATTAGGTGTGTTCTCTCATGCGACATCAAGGATGAATATCTGTTCTGTACACAACTTGAAACCGCTACTACAGCAGCAGATGTGATGGAAAAACTCATATTTCTTCACAGATAACCGGATCACCTTCGGAAAGTTGTTGTGGAGTCTGTACTGAAGGGGTTCCGGCGATGCTCGGATCGAAAGCAGGATTCTAGAAGCATCTCAAGGAAGTAGCTCCAAATGCCAAGGGGTTTCACTGTATCATCCATCGTTTTGCACTGGCGTCAAAAACTCTCCTTGATGCACTTTGCAAGATCTTGGAGGCAGTGGTCAAATGCGTCAACTCTGTAAAAGCAGGAGCTTTCCAAAACCTTTGTAAAGTCATGGATTCAGAGCACGAAATCTCCTGTATTACTCTAAAGTGCTCTGGCTTTCCAAGGGTAATGTGAATCGAGTTTTTTTACGTCGACGAGAGCTCAAGATGTTCCTGGAAGTGCAAGGCAAGGATGATTTATTGAGTCACTTCTATGAGATTTTGTGGGAGTTGTATGTATATTATGTATGCTGTATGTATATTATGTATGTACATTATGTATGTGCTCCATTTATATACATTATTTATTCAGCCTAGCTAGCGGCGTGTGGCAATGTATTTACCATGTCCCACACGCTTAATTAATGTGCCTGGCGACATATGGGAGCTGTTAATGTATTACTTGCCACATGTCGCCTGAAAGGCTAGTTGACCCCCCAGACAGAGTAAGGAGCGCCACCTCGCTTGTGTATCTTTGTTTATCCAGTAAATAGAACCTACGAAAACTTTACAGGTGTTTGTGTTCGCTCCTGTAGATAGAACTTGATACCCAGAACATATACAGGAGTCACGTCTCGCATACCTAGCAGATATATCTGAACAGCTAAACAAACTGAATCTTAATTTATAATGCAAGCATACAAACATGTTTCACTCTATGAACTGCCTCCTTGTGTTTCTTGCAGAGCTCCAGAAATGGCAAAGGAAAGTCAGTGCAGGAAATGTTGCCATATTTGAGAATCTTTCAATTGATCGTGATGGGATCAAAGAGGATCATCTGCTTGACCCAGCACTCAAATGACATCACTCAGCACCTGATATCCCTGGAAAGTGAACTCAGAATTCGAGGAGCAAGGAGGATAATTAATTGGTGAAGAATTCTTTCTCTGGCACTTTTGATATTGCGACCATTCCCGATGATGTTCAAGACAAATTCTTTGATCTCAAGAACGATTCTGCTGCCAAAGATCAGTCGTATACAAAAGTCAGCGAGATGGCACTTCGAGTAATCTTGCCATATTTTACAACCTACGTATGCAAGTCTGGCTCCTCCACTCTTCTACAGATAAAGAGCAAAAGTCAGAACCGATTAGATGTGGACACGGACATAGGATGTGCTTTGTCGGTAACACAACCTCGAATTAAGTGCCTGACTAATAAGAAAAATATCTTCCTTCACGTTGAGCTACATGGCAAAATATGCAGAGGAACTTCTTCCCAACTTAATTCAGGTTTATTTTGAGGCTAGTCGTCACTCGGGTTTAGTAGCATGTCAGTTATATATATTATGTGTATGTATATTATGTATGCTGTATGTATATTATGTATGTGCTCCATATATATACATTATTTATTCAGCCTAGCTAGCAGCGTGTGGCAATGTATTTACCATGTCCCACATGGTTAATTAATGTGCCTGGCGACATATGGAAGCTGCTAATGTATCTCTTGCCACATGCCGCCTGAGAGTCCAGATGACCCCCAGACAGAGTAGGGAGAGCCACTTCGCTTGTATATATCTGTTTGTCCAGTAAATAGAACCTACGAAAACTCTACAGGTGTTTGTGTTCGCTCCTAGATAGAACTTGGTACCCAGAACATATACATGGTGCAGTGTGTTAATTAACTGGATCACTATACAAGTGAAGTGTGTAAAGTTTGTGGCAAGACCGGCTTATGGACCCCTGCTCTGTCGTCAACCGCTAACGCAGTCTCCTCCAAGAACTTGTTTGAATTTATAGCAACTTTGAGCAGTGTCAGTGACAGCAAGTTCCTGTGTGTGTAGTGCCATAAGTGTGTGACCTTGTTTTAAAGGATTCCTAAGGTGGAAAGCTTGTTCAGGGCATTTGTGAGGAGTAGAGTTCAGTGCAGCCTCCTCCTGCAGTGCCTAGAGCAGGGGTTCTCAACCAGGGGGTAATTCCCCCCAGGGGGGGAATTCAGGTTTTCAGGGGGGGGGGGAACTGATTCGGGAGCAAGAGATATGTTCGATGAGAAATCAATCACAGAATTTTGGCCCTTGTGCGATTCCTACCCAAAAGTGGCAGAAAGAGCTTCCGTTTGTGTCGACATATCTTTGTGAATCAGGCCTTTCAACTCTGTTGCAAATTAAAACGAAGCAACGTAGTAGATTAGAGGTAGAAAATGACCTGCGTTGTGCCCTTTCAAGCACTCCTCCGCGTATCCCAGAATTGGCGAAGAAAAAACAATCACAGGTTTCTCATTGACTGTAATATTCATCTGAATAAAATTAATTACAAATTTACAATATCCTGGTATTCTATTGAACTTTTTGTTTATTGCATTATGCTTCAGTTTGGTCTGTTAAGTAATTCATTATAAATATATAAAAAACTATTTTACTTTTATTCAAGTTTTATAAATCCATCAACATTTTCAATTGGCATTTAATTTGTAAAACTCCACTATAAAAATAATCCATGTAAAATTGTAAATGTATATGGAAAAAATAAAGGATTTTCAGTATTATATTCATATTATTTGGAATGCACTTTTTGAGGCAGACAATCTTGGAAAGGAGGGGGGAATGACATTCTGACATATGGTGAAAGGGGTGCATGGGGCAAACAAGGTTGAGAACCACTGGCCTAGAGGGTAACTGACTGTGACTGTGAGCAGCTCGCCTCCACCCCCTCCCAGCGAGACACTGCCCGACCGCGCACACATGCACACACGCACGAACACTCTGACTGCAGTCATTCCTTTATATATATTTTATATATGTAATCTACTTATCTGTGCATTTAATTATTTTTTTTTTGTCTCGGATCTTGTTGATACGACGGACTGACCGGTCAACACTGATTTAAGACACAGTACACAGATTAAGTAATTATGTCTCGTGCCTTATGCAGTCGTGGAGCCAACGCCAGGATGAGTCATTCGGATGACAGCTCTGCAGAGATGGATGACCAGGCTGAATAGGACGCTCCAGCTCCCACTGCATGAAAGTGGTCGACGACATACTCGTGTACGATGAGGATTACATGGATCACCTCTGCCGTATCTACGAGGTACTCAACAGGTGCCGGAAGCACGGCATCACCCTAAATGACGACAAGTTTGTTCTCGCCAACTCTTCAGTGGATTTTTGTGGGTACACCCTCTCAGGGAATGGTATTGCAGCTGACCCGGAGAAGGTCAGCGCCATCACGGATTTCCCCACCCCTGCCAACCTCACCGACTTGAGGTCCTTCATCGGTCTCGTCAACCAGTTAGCGGAGTTTTCGCCGGACATCTCCGCAGCTGCCCAACCACTTCGCCCCCTGATGAGCCCCAAGAGGACATTCCTGTGGACCCCCGACCACGACAAGACCTTCCAGCAAGTGAAACAGGCCCTGTCTAGTCCACCTGTCCTTGCCACGTTTGACCCAGCCCTGCCGACGGTTCTGCAGACAGATGCCTCACGCTTGTACGGCGTGGGATACGCCCTATTGCAGGATCATGGTGGAGGGCACTTCCGGCTCGTCCAGTGTGGCTCGCGTTTCCTCTCTGACACCGAGACGCGCTATGCTACTATTGAGTTGGAGCTGTTGGCTGTGGTTTGGGCAATGTCCAAGTGCAGGTTTTACCTCATAGGCCTGCAACACTTTCACCTAGTGACCGACCATCGCCAGCTTGTCCCGATCCTCAACAACTAAGGGATCGACGCCGTTGAGAACCCTCGCCTCCATGTCTAAAGGAGAAGCTCTCGGCGTACATCTTCACAGCAGTGTGGCATGTTGGTAAGGAGCTCTGCATCCCTGATTCCTTATCCCGCTCTCCTGTCAGCCGCCCTACTCAGAAGACCATGTGCTCGACGCCGACCTCGCTCTTTCCGTCAGGACTGTGGTCACCCTACACGCCCTCCAATCCCTTCGTTCGGACCTGTCACCAGATGACGACAAGGTAATGGAGGACCTTCGAGCAGCGGCCCGAGATGACTCTTTCTACGTCCGACTCATCGAGTGTGTGAGGAATGGATTCCTCAGCAACCGCTACGACCTTCACAACACCCTGCTCCCGTATTGGAAACTCCGCGATGAACTCTACTGCGACGGGGACCTTGTTCTGTACGGAGCATGTGTAGTTGTCCCTGCTGCCTCACGTCCCCACGTCTTGGCTCGCCTTCACGACAGTCACCGTGGAGCTTAGGCCACCAAACGACGTGCAGGACAGACTGTGTTCTGGCCCGGCATCGACTCCGACATCTCCAATGTTGTCCGTGTGTGTGAGCCCTGCCAAGTATTACAACCCAGCCAGCAGCAGGAACCCTTCATGAGTGACGACAACCCCACCTGCCTCTTTGAGTTTGTGTCGGCCGACTTTTTCTGTGTGTCAGGAAAGTCCTTCCTTGTTATCGTCGACCGTCTCTCTGGTTGGCCAGTTGTCATCAAGTGCGGTAATGACACGACGTGTGCCGCCACCATCAGCAAGTTCCGCCACTACTTCCGTGACGTGGGCGTTCCTGTGCACCTGCGAACCGACGGAGGGCCCCAGTTCACAAGCCGGGACTTTGCTGTGTTTCTTGACCGATGGGGAGTCCGGCATGTGTTGTCATCGCCCCATTACCCGCAGTCCAACGGCCACGCTGAGGCTGCTGTCAAATCCCTGAAGCACCTCATCCTCAAAGTGGTCCCTTCTGGGAATATTGACTGCCAGGCCTTCGACCGGGGTCTTCTTGAACTCCGCAACACAACTAACTACACCGGACGCTCCCCTGCCCAGGTCTTGTATGGACGCCCCCTTCGTTCTTGTGTCCCTGCTCACCCTCAATCCTTCTCCAAGGAGTGGCAGGCCAAGACAGAGGATTGTGATTGCCGAGCCGCCAAACGTGTTCATGATGTCGTCGCCCACCACAACGACCACGCCCGTCCTCTTCCCATGTTGAGTGTTGGCACGCAAGTCCGTGTTTAGGACCCGACCTCCCTACGTTGGGACAAAGTGGGCGTAGTCATGGGTCTCGGTAACCGCACCACCAGGTGCGGTTACCCAGTGGTTGTGTGTGGTGGAGGAACCGCCATTTTCTCCGCCCCTTAACAACGCCTTCTGCTGACCCCGCCACCACTGTTGAGTCCCATACCCTCCCCAGTGATCAAGTCCCTCGATGCTCTGAACGGATCCAAAAGAAATGGTCCGCTCAAGACTTTGCTATGAGCGTATAGGGGGGGAGGGAGGTGTATGTATATTTTGTATGCTGTATGTATATTGTGTATGTGCTCCATTTATATACATTATTTATTCAGCCTAGCTAGCAGCGTGTGGCAATGTATTAACTACGTCCCACACGCTTAATTAATGTGTCTGGCGACATATGGAAGCTGCTAATGTATCACTTGCCACATGTCGCCTGAGAGGCGCCAGACAGAGTAGGGAGAGCCGTTTCGCTTGTGTATCTCTGTTTGTCTAGTAAATAGGACCTACGAAAACTCTACAGGTGTTTGTGTTCGCTCCTGTAGATAAAACTTGGTACCCAGAACATATACATTATGTATAAATGTCAGATTGTAAGATTATGATGATTGTCAAAAATAGACAATAAAAGAAGAGTAATCTCTTCATGTGATCAAGACTGTGTATTTTTCATCGTTTTTTTTTTGGGGGGGGGGGAAACTGAAGAGGCCAAGGGGACTTTGAGGGATCCTCAATGGGAGAATGGAGTGAAAAATATTGAGAACCACTGCGCTAGACAAAGGTTAGGATATAAGTACTTCTGGCAGTATGACCCTCAGGTAGATGTGAACAAAGCTAAATGTAAAGTGTACGGCCAACACTACGTCTTAGACTGAAAAAATTAATCTTATAGGGATAGATCCAAGCACATTATGTATGCAATGGCAAAACACTTTATCTCTGATGACAAGATAACTGATACACTAAGGCTTCTCTCCACACCTCGCATCTAGTACCAAATCAAATTTCTATCTGCCGACTTAACAAACAATGTACTAAAAAAACTCTAACATTCAGTGCCATAAATTATGATCACTCGGCCTGATAAACACCCTTTGAGGCCTCTACTCTGTAATCTTTTTTGCGCTATCGCTCACGGGATGAGTATGTGGTGCACAATAAACTAGCTGCTGTCCGCAGCAAAATTCAATCACTACAACTACTACTACTACTATTTTTTTTTAACGTGGCCTCCAGCCTCCCCCAATAGCCACACCTTCGCCGCCATTTTATTACTTTAATATTGAATATCCTAATACATGAATAGCTATCCTAGCTGTGTTGAATTAGTTGAGCCGCAGATCTATGAGGCATTCAGTGACTGTGGCCTCATAGTCAATATCTACAGCTGTTGTCGGCTTTGGAGCCGAAGCTCTCGTTCCCCTGAGACAGAGCAAAGCCTACCGGAGGAGAGAGAAGGACAGTCGACATCTCATCCAGGCTGTAACATAACTTCTGGGCTGCTGCTTATGTTCGGAGATCACCTGCGCGAGTCTGGCGTAGAAACATCTTGCACTTGGTCCCATCCCACCAGAGGTTGTGAACACTAGAGGAGTGAAGCTGCCTTGATCAACGTTCTTAATTCTCTCCCCGTATGCCCTTATCTTGTCGTTCTCGTTCCTCCTGTGTGCAGCATCGAGAGCTAAGTTACGGTGACATGCGGCCATGGGATCAAAGATCCTGATGTCGAAGAAGGCTCGCTGTCCCAGCGTCCAGAATCCTCGAGCACTGACGTCAACACGGGCTTCGTTGGATGTGTTTGAAGTCCTATGTCGGAAAATCTCACCGTCCAATGGAGGGTCGGTTCTTCCCTGACATCACGGCTGATTTCCTTCGACATATTTGCTGTGAGATCCCTTACTTCGTCATGCCTCATGCATATGAAGCCCCTTACTTGCACACCATGGTGTGATCGGCGTCATAGGAAGAGCCACACACGCATTGGGAGGGCAAACCTTCCACTGGCCTACCGTACCTTAGAGCATTGGCATCTCTAAATTCTTTTTTATTGAGACTGAAACTATTTGCCCTTATCGGTAACGTAGTTAACCAGTTCGAGGCGCCCACCTCCTGCGTTATAGCTACTTTTTTCAAATTCTCTGGTACTTGCAACAACAGTTTCTGCAACTTATCCCGACTACTTTTTTTTTAAATTGCCTCCAGCCTCTCCCAATAGCCATATCTTCACCGCCATTTTATTACTTTAAAATTAAATATCCTAAAACTTGAGTAGCTACCCTAGCTGTTTTGAGTTAGTTGAGCCGCAGATCTATGCGGCATTCAGTGACTGTTGCCTCAAAGTCGATATCTGCGACTATTACTATTTTTTTCATTAAATAGCCTCTAACCTCTCCTTATAGCCATACGTTATCCACCATTTTATAACCTAATTATCCTAATATAAAATTATTTACTCTAGTTAAGTTAGTTAAGCTGCATATCTATGTGGCATTCTGTGAATGTTGTCTCAAGAGTCCGTGTATGCAACTGTTGTTGGTTTAGGGACTGAAGATCTTGTTCGCCTGAGCAAAGAGAAGGTCAGGTGACACCTCAACCAGACTGTGACATAACATCTGGGTTGCTGCTATTCTGGTATCACCTCAGCTAGTTTGGCAAAGAAGCACCTGCACTAGGTCCCATCCCACCCGGTGTTGAGAGCACCAGTGGAGTGAAGCTGCCTTGGTCCACATTCTGGATTATTTTTTTTTTTTTTATAAATGCTGTTCAATTCGTTCTCGTTCCTATTGTATAAAGCATCGACAGAAAGTTCATGATGGCAAACGTCCAGGGGTTCGAATATCCTAATATATAAAAAAAGGCTTGCTGCCCCCTCATCTAAAATCCTCGGGCACTAAAGTCCATATGGGTTTCCTTGGTTGTGTTGACAGTCCTGTTAATGAAGGGCTTGCCGTCGAATGGGAGGAGGGTCGGTTCTACAGTGATGATGGGCATATCTCCT